AGATGATGTTAATTCGTTCTGCGAAAATTGTCGTTTTGTGAAAAAATCGTCTTGCAAGGTTTCCTATGCATCGGTCTAAAAAAAAAAAAGTCTTGCGAAGCATTGGTCTAAAAAAAAGTCTTGCGAAGCATCGGTCTCAAAAAAGAAAAACACCTTGCGAAATCTGGAGAATTTTTATAGATCCTCAAGTTAATTCTCACCCACCTCTTCCAGCTGATTCATGAGTGCAGGTAACTGACAGTGCAGAGTGGATTTTTCCTCTCGAAACAGGTGGCACCAAGGAGGAAGGGCCTAAATAGCTATGCATACAGCATTTAACAAAAAGTTTTAGGCAGAGCCTTTCCAAAAATGGAGGCTTGCTTTCATAGTTCTAGTGACCTTGAAATACAGGAAGAGGAACTGTGAAAGGAGGCCACCCACACACCCCAAGACATGGGGAAGGAATAAAGTCATTATTTGGAGGTGTTGTGTTTGTGGTGTTTATTTTATTTTAAGAAAGCCAATGTGATGGTGCAGTGATTAGAGTTGGATTCACTCAACCATGAAATTAACAGTGCTCTTGGGTCAATCACCCTTTCTCTCTCAGCATCATGTATCTCAAGAGGGGGTTGCTGTGGGGATACAAGAGGTATACATGTAGCATGTTTGTACAATATCTGAACAAGATGGCCAATGAAAGAAGTGTCACCAAGCACTATTAGAACTGGAGAGTGTTTCCTTAGGTTTCTCATTCAGAGAGCAGCCCAAACTCTGCTAAGTTGGAAAGGAAAGTAGATTTTAATAAAAGGGGAATCAACTAACCTTTGTTTCTTCTTCCCAGAAGTAACTTGACAGAACCAACCCTGGATATCTGCAAAACCCTGTGCCCTGATTCTCTGTGCCATTTTAAAATTCTCTATAGACTTGACTTCTACACCTCTTCAGCCCTTCTTCCTTCCTAGTCCACAGCCTCCTTCTTGTAATGCAATATCCTGCCCGATGACGGGATTTAAAAATTTGAAAGCCTGAATATGTTCTAGTATATTATTAGCTGACCAAATGAAAGTATAACCCTGATATGGATTTTCAATTTCAGTGCTTTGAAAGATTTTGAAACTCGAGTATAATAATGCAGAAGACAGAAGCAGACCAGTTAGTGGCTAATCAGCTGGATGACCACCAAAATACAGGTCACATGACACCTGAACATTGGTGTTGTGGAAAATTTTTGCCATGCAGTTGCTGACCAAAGCCAACACTCCTCCTCTACAAGGCTGGCCCCCAAATGTGGCTTCTTACTCTGGTTTTGCATGTACAAATAAGTTTTAGCAGTTTTTGGTTCCCCCAGGAGTGGGTCTTCTATAAAGCTTAAGGCTCTTAGCTGCCTATTCAATCCCTTCAAACATTCTGCATTGTAACAGAGAGGGTGTGTGGCTATATATTGCTCCTAGGAAAGTCCATTCTCCCCCAGCCACTAAATGGATTATAGTTAACATCACAACAAAGAAGGAAGCTGAGGGTGGGGCAGAATGGCTGATATCATCATTCCTGTCATTTGAAAGTCCTAATCATTTGGCCCCGCAAGCACTGTTTCCATTACAATCCAAGGCACTTTTTCAAGAAAATTGTAGCTAGGTGGCAGGGAGAAAATGAATGGAAACAACAGAAGCCTGAATCTAACCAACAAAGGGAAACAACAACAACAACAAAACAAAGAAAGTGAAAACCTAAATGCCCATACATTGATCTCAAGGCTCTGGGGTTGATCTACAAAGCCCTGACCTGAAAAACAAGGAGGCAAGACATATCCCACATCAAGTCCATCTGGTGTTTGGGATCTTCGGCAGGAACTCTGCTAGAAATCTCACCACCCCAGAGGTTACTGTGGTGATGACAGGAGAGCAGGCTCTCTCTATAGCAGAACCTCAATTGCACGACTCTCTCTTCCAAAGAGAAGTTAATTTGGTTCTAACTCAGCTGAGCTTCCAGTGCCAGTCAAATGAGAATATTTCACCCACCCTTGCTTTTTTTTTAAGCAAGTGCTCTACTACATTCTACTGTGCATCACTGTGAGGGCTTTGGTGGGCAGAAAAACAACTATTAACAACCAACTCCTCCTATGCCAATGTTCCCACCCTCCAGTGGTAATTTGCTGGAAATCTTGCCCAGCTCCTAAAACATCTGGGGCCAAATGCATGGGGTGCCAAACCTGCTGTGGGGGTTTGGCACCCCCAGATGCACAGAACCCACACTTTACTGCCAAAGCCAGGTCACCCTGTTATCATGGGTGATCACAAGAAACAAAAGCAGAAAACAAAACGTCCTCATTGCGGGCTTAAACACAGACACACACAAACACACCCTTAAAAATGTAAATCAATTTGATTTAACAACATCTTAAACTTAAGTCTGCTACCTCAGAAGGTAGTAATATAAAACAATTCCAGGTTGCATGAGGGAAGAAAAGACCTTGCCCCCCCGCAACCCCCAGCAGCCTGGCCTGCTCCTTCCTCTGTTTCTTATGTCATGGAAGATGGAATGAAAAGGAAATAGAGGCCAGGCAGTAATGTGCCAAAGAGAGTGTCTTTCACCCACTGCACTTCTGTTCACCTCCCTTCCTGCCTTTGAGGAAGCAGTTGGGGAGGGAATGTCAAAACACCCAGCAGGCAGCAACTAAAAAGAAGAGGTGCTGGGACTCACAATTGTCCCAGAGTTCCTGCCTTTCAACTTTCAAAGTCCTCTTCCTCAATGAGATGTGCAAGACCACTCTGCAGGTCTCTTTTGCAGCGAGATACATGGATTTTACTTCAGTTTGGAAGAGTGCATTTCTTTCTTGCTGCTTCTGGAGTCTGAGGGTCTTTGGACAAATTAACACTGTGCTGCTTCCAGGATGCCTTCTTATTCAGGAACAGCCTGGTTTGTCCCTTCCTACCCATTTGTACTTTGGGGAATTTTTATTTATTTATTAATTATTTATTTTATTTATATCCCGCCTATCTAGTCGGTTAAGACCACTCTAGGCAGAAGAAAGGGGGAAAGGGGGGGAAAGTACAGCATGGGCCATATTTAGTCACAAATTCAGTCCTCTCCCTCTCTCTGAGCGAGCTCTTACATTTTGTAAACAAGCATCCATCCTTAGAAATGTTCCCACCCTCCAGTGGTAATTTGCTGGAAATCTTGCCCAGCTCCTAAAACATCTGGGGCCAAATGCATGGGGTGCCAAACCTGCTGTGGGGGTTTGGCACCCCCAGATGCACAGAACCCACACTTTACTGCCAAAGCCAGGTCACCCTGTTATCATGGGTGATCACAAGAAACAAAAGCAGAAAACAAAACGTCCTCATTGCGGGCTTAAACACAGACACACACAAACACACCCTTAAAAATGTAAATCAATTTGATTTAACAACATCTTAAACTTAAGTCTGCTACCTCAGAAGGTAGTAATATAAAACAATTCCAGGTTGCATGAGGGAAGAAAAGACCTTGCCCCCCCGCAACCCCCAGCAGCCTGGCCTGCTCCTTCCTCTGTTTCTTATGTCATGGAAGATGGAATGAAAAGGAAATAGAGGCCAGGCAGTAATGTGCCAAAGAGAGTGTCTTTCACCCACTGCACTTCTGTTCACCTCCCTTCCTGCCTTTGAGGAAGCAGTTGGGGAGGGAATGTCAAAACACCCAGCAGGCAGCAACTAAAAAGAAGAGGTGCTGGGACTCACAATTGTCCCAGAGTTCCTGCCTTTCAACTTTCAAAGTCCTCTTCCTCAATGAGATGTGCAAGACCACTCTGCAGGTCTATTTTGCAGCGAGATACATGGATTTTACTTCAGTTTGGAAGAGTGCATTTCTTTCTTGCTGCTTCTGGAGTCTGAGAGTCTTTGGACAAATTAACACTGTGCTGCTTCCAGGATGCCTTCTTATTCAGGAACAGCCTGGTTTGTCCCTTCCTACCCATTTGTACTTTGGGGAATTTTTATTTATTTATTAATTATTTATTTTATTTATATCCCGCCTATCTAGTCGGTTAAGACCACTCTAGGCAGAAGAAAGGGGGAAAGGGGGGGAAAGTACAGCATGGGCCATATTTAGTCACAAATTCAGTCCTCTCCCTCTCTCTGAGCGAGCTCTTACATTTTGTAAACAAGCATCCATCCTTAGAAATAACTATGGTGACATCTATCTCTGGTTATAGGCATACAGATCCCAGCAATGCACACTGTATGATTACATGGGATCATTACGATTTCAGCCAGTGATACCATTAAAAGTTGGGAGGGTTGACAACTGTTGTTTCCTAAAGTTATAAAGCAACTTTTAGAATTGATCACCATGACCCACTTTCTCTTTCAAAAAATTATTTCTCAATTTCAAAATTATGCCTTGGGAAAGGCAGCAGAATGCAGCTGCAAATAATTCTTTTCTTAACATCATCTCCTGTTCATGTGTAGTCTCAGCTCATTTCTACAATACATCAAAATCTTAACTACCAATGTATCTACATTTCACAACAATAGCAGATATTAGACTATTATGGCTCCAACCTACAGTATTCCTGAAATTTTCCATTTCATACTCCAAATGTTTTACTGGAGAGTTCACACACACTCCCCTAAACTACAGCAGAAATCCAAAGCAGCTCATCAAATTAGAAATAGCAGGATTTCGTAGTTTGTAAGTAACAGCAGTCCAAGTGATATTAATCTGTTCAACCTATAATGTAGAAATACTCCATATTCAGTCAGAAAGATGTCTAGAACTAGATTAGAGATGCTCTTAATAGGTTAAAGGCTAAAGACTCTCTCATTTAACCATTGCAATCCCCAATTCAATTTGTATACAAACCCTTTAAAAAAGGTTGTGAACCTGGAGTGGGGCAAAGAAGGGCCAATGAAATGATTAAAGAAGCTGGCACAACTCATCTGAGATGAAAGGTTACATCATTGGGGGCCTTTTTAGCTTGGAAAAGAGCTTATTAAGGATGTTGGTACATGATGGTGGTGGAAGTAGAAGCTATAGAGACTTACCTGGTGCTACAGAATTTGAAGGATTGGTGATGTTGGTATTCTTATCATCAGCTCTTGCTGAAACAAAAAAACACACACATACTGATAAATATCTGCATTATTTAAACTTTATGCACCACAAGTTTGAGTAATCTCAATAACTTTTGGTCACCATGGAAGCTAATAATAATCATCTTAGAACTACAGAGCTGAAAGGGGCCCTATGGATAATTGAGTCCAGCACCTGTCAAAGAGTTACAGCAGGGAATCGAACTCCCAACTAGTGGTTCCACAGCCAGATGCCTAAATCACTGAGCTATCCGGCAGTTCATAAAAGTTTTAAGAATACCAACACATACTTGTACGGCTTGAGCATTATGTATGGCCTTCCAAGATTGATGGGTGTCTGCCTGTCTCCTCCACCCCCACAGTAAAGGAGGCTAGCACCAGGTAGGATCCATATACCTCATTTCCAACTACCTGCCAATAATTGAGGAATGTCACCTAAGCAGTTGCACAGCCCATAGGGAGCATGTTAATCCCACTAAAACCAGTGGGACTAAACATGAGTATACTTGCATAAACAACAAAGTTTCTTGTGGCACCTTTATTTGGAATTAACTTTTGTGGACTGCAGCCCCTGAAAACTTATTCGAAGAAATCTTGTACGTGCCCGAATGGCATTCTGGTGGGTTCTTTTGTTTTGCGTTGCTCCCTCCCTCCCTCAACCCACCCACCCAGATTCTAATTGTATATGATGCACATAGGAGACATTCACAGTGATATATGCAATGCCTGTGACTATCAAAGAATGGGATAGGTCTAATTCATGCAACAGTTGCCTTAGGAAGATATATTTGGAATCCTATTTGATGGATCTTTCATTCTCATGATGAAATCTTATGAAACTTATTTGTGAATAGGAGACTAGAGACCTCAGTGAGATTTCCCTGCTTCATCGAGGCTCTGTGAGTACAGCTTGGTTCAGCTGTCAAACTTTAGTTCAATAAATCATAGTTTATCAGACCAAGCATATCTTTGGGGCCATCAAACTCTTCTTGCACCCCTGAAAATTATCCTGATTTTTATCCTAAAGCACAGTTTCCAGTGATATCATACAAGATCTACATTTTATACCCTGATTTGTTAATGATCAAGAAACCAGGGGCAATGAATATATGTTGTTGCTCGACTGTACCTCCCCATAAGACCTAAACCAGCATAGCCAATGATGAGGAATGCCAGAAACAGCATTCCTGGAGTGTCACCACACTCCCCAAACTTGAATTGTTTTTCTAAGTCTAGGCACAAGCTTTGTCCTCTGTCCAATAAACAATGTTTTATCAAATTCTGTCTGAACCACACACGTGTCTCCTGCAAGATCTACAAATTTTGTATTCTCACTGGCTTTCACGGCCAGGATCTGATGGTTGCTGTGGGTTTTTCGGGCTCATTGGCCGTGTTCTGAAGGTTTTTCTTCCTAATGTTTCGCCAGTCTCTGTGGCTGGCATCTTCAGAGGACAGGAGTCAAAACACTGTCTGTGCTCTGGTGCCGTTTGTTTGGGTAGTTGAGTATTTATAGCTGTGGGAACCCGTTTTGTCCTTTTCAGGAGATTGGGTGATTATGGTGATCAGCATGTTTCTGTTGTGGATGTATTGTTGTGATAAGGGAGAGAGATGATCTGTCACTGTGATTGATGGGTGTCATTAGGTGGTCCTTTGTGTGCAGTGATCACTGGTCCTTGTTGCTGGGTAGAGTTCCTTGACCTTTTGCAGGTTATATTTTTCAGTGCTGGTTTTTATTTAAATCAACATGATTTTTTAAAAAAATCATTGATTTTTATCTACCCTGCTTCCTTGGCCCTATTTGGCTCTGCACTGCCTACCCCCTTTCTCCTACTGTTGAGTCTTGGATTTTATGTACAGTCTTTGCATCACTGTGCTATACTTGCATGGCCCTATTGGTAAATGCTTTGTGTTTTGAAGAAAAGAAAGGCCATGATTCTCCATTCCACCCTCACATGAAGCCAGTAAAGGTAAAGAAAACAGAACTGCCCGTCTGCACCCAATGTTCCACGTGGATGGGCAGATGGCAGGCCTCATCCTGCAGTGATGAGATGGACCCCACCCACCTAGCTGGATCCTGGGCTACCACCAAAATTTGCTAGCTTCTCTTGACAGAAGTTTGGTGACTTCTGTCCCAACACACACAGGCAAACATTCAACAGGGACTTGCCAAAACATACGAAGTTCACACACCTCAGTCAAGTCTCCTACATTCTGAAGTTATCATTCTAAACTAGCAATCTGGGCCCACGTTTTGCTCCCTGTGCCACTTCCATAACATCTTGTAGGTACACAAAGCCATTTTGTCTCTGCGACTTGTATCTTTACCCCAAAGTCTCAGCAAAAGATCAGTGTCTCACTGCTATGGGGCACCTAGAAATTGAAAGGCCCTAAAGCACAGTTTCTAACTCACTTTAACTGAAATACCTCTTAGATTCTTCAGGTGTCTTTGGCAATTTTTATGGCATTCAGAAAATCTCTCGCTATCACTTTCTTCCTTTCTTCCTTCCACTCAGGAATCTCTGAAACCAAACCAAACTTCTCTATACACGGATCTTTCTTTCTCTATTCAACAAAAGCAGGGAAAGTGTGGCCTTCTAGGACCACATCCTCATCATTCTTGACCATTGGTTCTGATAGCTAGGGGTGAGAAGAGATGAAGTCTAGCAATATCTGGAGGGCCATTTCCAACTCCTGTGATACAAAACTGTCACTATGTTGCAAAGGAGGATTCTTGACATCCAAAGAGTTTCCAAACATTTACAAATGTTACTTTCTCAATTGCCTAGTTCAAGTCAGCTGCCATCATTGAGATCGTAACCCTAGGATGGCCAGATCACAACGAAGGCATATGCAAGTAGGCATATTTGGCTCTGCACTGCCTTAAGGCTTTTACGGCCGGGATCTAATGGTTGTTCTGGTTTTTTCAGGCTCTTTGGCCGTGTTCTGAAGGTTGTTCTTCCTGACATTTTGCCAGTCTCTGTGGCCAGCATCTTCAGAGGACAGCACTCTGTGCTCTGGTGCAGTTTGTTTGGGAGCTGAGTATTTATGGCTGTGAGATGAGCTTTTGTCCTTTTCAGGAGATTACTAATCATCCATCTCCTGAAAATGTTAAGGCTTCATAAGACAAAATCCAAGTGCTACCAGTGTTATAAGAGACAGGCAAACAACACAACAGGTAACAGGGATTACAGTAGAAAATGCCCTTCTATTTAGAGAGAAGAAATTGAGATTGTTTCTTGCTGATCTGGGGTCGAGAGACAGGCTAGGTTTACATATGATGAGTACACTTCTCTGCAGATCTACTCAGAAGGAAGTCCCCTTGTGTATTTATTTATAGATCTGTAGTCTTTCTCAGTTCCACATGCATGATGTCTTTTACTAGCATCCCTCGTTGAAACAACACGACCACCCAAATCTTGCTATGCTCTTCTGTCTTTCATTTCTACAGAACAAGATCACTCCTCTGAATTCCCATAAATGCCGTCATAACCACTGTAGTATCTCTCTCTCTTTTTTAAAATACAACATTAACTAAGCTCTGTTCATCCATTTTAATTTTCAGTTTGAAAGTGGTTACAATGGGGAGCAAGGAGAAGAGGGGTTTGGTTTAGCTATAGGTTGATGTTTCACAGAGACAATGTGAGAGAGACAAGACTTATGAGAAAAATGTAAGAAATGCCAATGTTTCTAGTTCCTTATGAGCCCAGGAATTAATGAGTCCCAAAGCTCCTATTGTTAATAGGCTTGTTCAGTTCTTGCATATGCAAGTCTGTGACTTCCTTATTCGCGTTAATGCATCTCTTATTAGGTCTTTCTCTTTTCCTGCTGCCTTCAACATTACTACAGCATTACTGTCTTTTCCTTGCGCTCAAGATGGAGAGCACAGGATCTGTCGCACTTGTGACACCTGTGGCATATCTGTTTTCTTGCCAAATGAGGTCCCTGGCTAGAAACGCTCAAAGTGTCAGCTGGTGGTCCTCTTGGACGACAAGGTATGGCAGCTGGAGGCCTATGTTTCTTATCTCCGCACTCTTAGGAAGCAGGCCGGGGCTCATCAGCCTAGGAAGGCAGCCCATCTAGGAAAAGGAAAACTCTGATTTCAAACCTCCACTGCCTTGTGGCCATATCCACTGATGGCTTCAGGAGTTAATCTTGAGGCAAAATCCAGACCCCAAGTCCCAGAGGCGGTTCGTAATGCTCTGGCAACTCCTGCGATATCACTGGAACTATTTGTATTGGCTCTTGCCTTTCCATTGGACTATTTCAGCAACATGGAGAGGGGGGATTTGCTGCTTGGGTAACAGCCTATCCTCCATATTATTTTATCCAGGCTTTGTGCTCTGGAGAGGACATTGAAGCTTACAAAATCGAAATAACATGGGAAGCTGCAGTTACCGGTTATAAGCCTTTGCTCGATTGGGCTTCTCAGCCACACTAAATGCTGTTCCAAGTCCTCCATTCAGAGCACGTTACCATAGTCTCTCAAGACTGAAGGATGCCTAACAAAAACAATATCTAACTGTCTTTTCCAATGAGTCTTGTATTCCTACAGGTTGGACTTGATATAAACCAAATTGTTTAAAATCACAATTTAGGTCACAATTGAATTTTTTTTCAAAAAAATAATTATTTAAGTTTTTTATTTTTTTTAAAATTTAAATCAATCTGATTTTTTTAAAAAATTGATTTTTTATCCACCCTATATTCTTATGAAGTACCAAAGATATGATAGTTATAGTTTAGCCATTATTTCTTCAAAGGAGAGATCAGACTTGATTAAAACCATCCTCGTTCACAAGGGCCCTCTCAGTGGTTGTTCTCAGACATTGGGACGCTTTGTCAAAGTAGGTCTGACAGTCTCTCTTTTTATGTAGGCAGATATTTGCCTTTTAAGTAAATCTGTTGCTGAAAAGATTTTAACTGTTTGGGTGCTGCTCTATCTTTTCTTCAGTTTTTAACTGTGTTTCCAGTTGATTGATATTTGCATTGTCTTTTAATCAAGCCTTGCC